GATATCCAAACGATAATCATGACCTAGCATCACCCATGGGACAGATATCCATTTAGTAATCATGACATGGCAGCACAAATTAGATTTGAATGGACAAAAATATCCCCCTTGGAATTTCCTCTACAGAATTGAGAACGTTGGGGCCAGGAAAATGGTGCATTGTAGCCCCCTGACTTAATAAGGGGTACCTACCCAACGTCAACGCTTACAATTTTATAGAGGACCTTGGGGCCTCAATTCTATAGAGAATTCATGCTGAATACAGCACTGAGGACTAGTCTTAGGGACTACGATTCTATAGTGGGATATGTTTTTTTGGATGTATGTTATGTTCTTCAATTCTATAGAGAAGAATTGGCAGAACCAATTTCCCACAACAATTCTTTGATCATCCTTGATCATCCTTGTATATCTTTGTATATTTTGGATAGGGTATATCAGTTGATCTGTGATGTTGCTTTGCTACCTCGTGCGCTTTTCGTGCGCGGAAAACGAGCCCGAGGACTTCGACCCCAAAACGGGGAGGTACACAACGGGGAAGACACAACGGGAAAGGGGAGCCCCAAAGGGGAGAAAGGAAGGGGGGACACAACGGGAAAATGATGCGAAATGAAAAATGTAATTTTTATATACTTTTATATATTATAAGTTGTAAGCAAAAAAAGCTGTTTTTTTAAGATATTGAAATGTTAAAATTGTGCATATGTGCTTGATAGTTTGATATTTTTTAAAAATGAAATTTCTATCAATAAATTATGTCGACATTCAGTCTTTAAAGCATTTAGTTTTTTTCCAGTGGAAGTCAAGGGGTTACGAGGTGGGTCAAAGTGGTAGATTCTACCACTTTGTAGTGCCGTCACCGCTGTCGCAAGGCAGCACTTTACCAGAGATACCAGAGCAATCCAGAGCATACCAGAGCAGCGAGGATGAAAAAAAACAAGAGCATGAAGAGCGACGATTTTTCAAGATTGTTCATTATTTTTCAGGTATTTTCACCAGTCTATAAAATTGAAGGGCACGACAGTGAAGACTTGGAGCCTTTGGGCTCTATAAAATTGAAGTGCATAAGGCAAGATGGGCAAGAGCAACTAGAGTATTCAGGTCAGCTGTCAATAAAGAAGGGTTGGGGAGCCTGATTTTATAGAAGGCCAACTAACCCCCCCAACCATCTACGAGAGTGACTTGGCGGCATCGATTCTATAGAGATTGTCAACTTGAAAATACCTTGGGGTCTCTGATTCTATAGATGCATTTTCGGAAAGGGGGGTCATGTCCTCCTGATTTATCACTATAAAATTGTCAACACCAACCCTTTCACTTAATACAAAGGGGGATACAAAAATATCCAAATAGTTAAATGGCAGTCATGACCTAACCCACAAGAAATTATCACAAGTTAGATTTGAATGGGAAAGATGTTCATATAGTACAGCGCTCGTGAAGCAACATGTTTGGTAAAGGTATCTAAATGCTACCCGTCCTCAGGAAACAGCCTCACCAAATAGATTTAAATGGGGGAAATGTATCCACTCATCATACAACATCCACTCAGTTGGTTTTGAATCATCCGGGAAGATGACATAGGATCACAGAATGTATAACATTTCCCATCATATAATATCAAATATATATAGGTGTGTCGGAATGACAGTGTCTCCTTTGGGATGGTGGACTCGCCGGTCTCGCTGTTCTTCGTCTTCTTGGCTGCTGGCTGAGGAGGAGCTGAGGTACTGCTGTCCTTTCTGCGCTTGGTGCCCTTGCTCATCTCGGTGTCCTGCACTTCTTGGTCCTTGATCTCAGCCTTGCTGGCCTTGCTCGCCGCGTCATTCTTCGTCTTGTCCACCTGCTTCTCGGATTTCTTGACTTTGCCCTCAGTCTTGCTGCTGCCGTTTGATGCCTCTGATCTTGGCACCCCCTTGCTAAGCCATTTCTCATGCCATCTGTCACTGGCAATCCTGTGGACCCGTTTCTTTTCCTCTGGAGTCTGTTTCCTTCTCAGGGGTTTGGCCTTGGCAGAGGCATTGCGTTTGGCCTTAGCCTTTGCACAGGCCTTGGATTTGGCTCTGCCCTTCACTGCAGGAGCTTTTGGTGGTATGGGCTCCTGTGTGTTGGTGGTTCCTTCTTCTGCGAAATCATCCAGGCGCAGGGTCTCCTGTGAGTCAGGCATTTCAGGCTTCTCCTTGTCCCCAATGTCGTTGTCCCAAAGGCGTGGAGTTGGACCCAAAGGTTTGCCTTGAAGTTCCTTGGAAATTTCTTTCCACCGTTTCTTGTCCTCAGCGGTATCCCTCTCCCAAGGGCTTCCGGGCGACAGCGTGTCAGGAAGGTTGTAATCCTTGGTGTCGTCGGTCTTCTCGGTCTTGTGGGCCTCGATCTTGTTCTTGTGCTCCTCGCCGTCCATGGTCTTCTCGGTCTTGTGGGCCTCGATCTTGTCCTTGCGCTGCTTGTCGTCGATGGTCTTCTCGGTCTTGTGGGCCTCGATCTTGTCCTTGCGCTGCTTGTCGTCGATGGTCTTCTCGGACTTGTGAGCCTCGATCTTGTCCTTGCGCTGCTTGTCGTCGATGGTCTTGTTGGTCTTGTGGGCCTTGATCTTGTCCTTGCGCTCGTTGTCGTCGATGACGATGGTCTTCTTGGTCTCGTGGGCCTTGATCTCGTTCTTGTGGTCCTCGATCTTGTCCTTGCGCTCCTTGTCTTCGATGCTCTTCTTGATGTTCTTGGCCATGGAAAGCTGGTTGATGGAAGATCTCTCCATAGGATCGGTGGTGCCCCCATTGATGTTGTCGCCCTCCTGCATGTCCACAGGTTTGTCCATGTCCTGGTCCTTGTCAGTGCTCCCACTGGGTGATGCTTTGCTCTTGGCGGCAGCAAGTTTTGTTGACCTCTGCAATGTTGGCCGGGGTGATGAGCTCGTCCTTCAGGGAGATTGTAAACCACATGGTACTTAAACACAACAACTTAAAACAGTGTTGTATTTAAGACATGCCTAGATATGGCAAGTTGTATTTTAATTTGTAGTTGGGAACAGCTGGTCCATTACTCCCCGGTTCTAATCATAAATTATACCATGATATTTTATTTGAAGATAATTTAGATGTTATACTGTTTGTCAAACCCACTATCCTGCACAAGGGATCAACTGCGGCCAAGAATTTCTCATCCAGTGATACCCTTACCCCAGATGGTTCCACCGGCGGGGCCATGTGTGAAGTACTGGTAGAAGGTTTCCACACGAAATCTTGTTGGCGTATGGGCGGAGCTTCTATGGTATGGAACCCACTCTTAGGTGGGGGAGGCTGGGTAAATTCAACCTCAGACTCCTGACTATCCACAAGGTACAATTGCATGTTGAGCTCCAATCCATCATAATTGGCCATGGCCGCTGTTAGAACAGCAACCTTACCAAGACCAGGGGCTTGAATCAAAATAGCTATAAGATGTATGGCAAATCATGGGCTATGCTGTCCCCTTCAACATGTTGAGATGAGATGTGCTCATGATTGGTCCCTGCAACACGCGAGGATATTTTCCTTGACGGTGATTCTCCTTGAAGCAGGACAGCCGATCGGTTTCCATGCCAGAGATTTGCCCGTCCCAATGAAGGGTTCACTCATCCCCACTAAAGATAAAGATTAGATTAGTATAATATAAATTTCTTTACAATGACATGATGAAGTATAACAAAACGAAATTTTAACTAATTTGGAACCACTGAAGGGTTCACTCATCCCCAATGGAACCACCAAAGGGCCAGGGTGACAGGTTGATTAGGCCTTTCCCCAAGACCTATGATGAAAAGAGGCCAAGCAATTAGGCCAATGATGGTGGCAGCCTTTTGATCAAAGATGATGGTTCTTGAACTCGTTCCTATTGGTTTTTACAACAATAATTTCAATTCCAGTGCTGAGAAGCCACCGTCTACAAGATTCTTTTGCACTGGCCATTGCCAAGTGCAAGCTTAGCCTTCAGAAACAGCAGGGGTTTTGCCGCACCTAAGATCTTCTCCGTGGTGTACATACGGAGACGCCAAACCTGCAGGGTCTTGATTTAATGTTTACTGTTTGAAAGAAGTGAATAAGATATTATATTTGTCTCCCCATTGAATGAGATATAAAGTTGTATGCAAAGTTGTCTCCCTATGAAAAATATTATGAAGACAGTAGATGGAGAATAGATAGTCTAACATTTTGACGGGCAATGCGAAGGAATAAAACACTTTGACATGAAACCCCACTTTGAGCTGGGGTTGGTGGATTGGCAAAAGGCAAACATAGTTTATCCAGACCTAGCCTGCTGAACAGCCTCGGACTCTCGGATCTGTTTGGCATCAAAATAAGAGGCACAGTTCTTGGACTTGACATTTCGGAGTTGAACTGCGGATGGCTTCCAAACCATTGCGTCCTTCACAGCAATCTCGAACCTGCCAGAGTGAAACCATGTGACACAAAAAAAATGTTTAATGAAACCCGGTATTTGTCTACATTATTTTATTTTCCTATAGGACAGTATTCAAAAAATATACCAACCAAAAGTTTTGATACTCTTATTTTTTTTGTTCTACCCCAAAAACACGGACCCCCTGTTGACAACACGGACCCCTTGAAACACGGGCCTGTCTTCCTCTTCCGATCCTTGGCAAACTTCTGGCGGCCTGTTGCATGAATGCCCAGCCAGCTCAAAGTCCACCGTGCCGGCTTGCTCCACAGAGTGAATGGCTGCCCTGATTGTGCAAGGAGCAGTGTCATTTCCATCACTGTCCTGAACAGGGATCAAGCCAACTATCAGCAGCCCAAAATTTGACTGATTGTTTTTTTCCCAAAAAAACACCAAACAAAATGTAATGAAATTGAACAAAAACTGAGAAACCACCAGCACCACCGTAGCAGAGTCGCTTGAAATCTCGAACTTGTAGCCCTTGTCTGGATTCTCCTGCCAGTCTCAGGTGATCAACAAACTGAAACCATACAATGCGAAAAACACTTTAAGGATGTCAGGTTTCGAAACAACTACCATGTTTTTTCTTCAGTTGCAAAAATATTGGAAACAAACTCCCAATCCTGAAGGAATTGCTCAGCTTTGTTCTCCAACAACCACACTCCAGCTCCAAAACAAATCACAGGCTGCTCCGTCCCAAACTCACCTTCCCCGGAAGACACCACAAAGAGGCGAGGCCCTTCCACAATGTGCCCAGCGAGGTGATCATTGATTGCAAAACTTGTAGCTGATGTGCCATACTTGGTTTCCATCTCGGACTTCGTGCACGGCTCATCAGGGTAAACCGTCTGCCATGAAAAGGTTTCGTCGGAACCTGGTTGATCTCGTTCTCCAGCTTCAAGATCAGTTGGATTGACCTCCGTGGTCCATTTCCTGTCAAACTCCTTCAACACTGCTCTCCATTCCGGACATCGAATCGGATCATTCAAGTACTGCTGACGGATTGTCAGAGGAATCTGGAGTTTGGAGTCCTGGATCTCACAAAGCAAAAGTTCAGGTTGCGTGGCTTCAATGGGCATGTTGTCCACAGCATCCTTCTGATACTTTGGCAAACACTTGCCAATGCCACCGATGCCTAGCTTCCACTCCTGCAGGTTGAGGAAGAAACCCCTCTCACATCACTTTTGAAACACCTACAGCAAAACGATTAAAACATATCCCTCAGAGCTTAAAACACCTACCACAAAGATTTGAAACACTTTCTCCTCCAGAAGGGATTGGGAAACCGTAAGCAGAGTGAAGCCATGATTCACAGGATTCTCGCTCACTGACAGCACCGGCACCTTCAACTTGATGCAGGCAAGCTCAACACTTCCACAATAGGTTGTTGTGTGCAGCACCGCCGCTCTCTTGAGATTGTCACCTGAAACAAAGAAACGATAACAGCAACCAAGAAACAATGCCACAAAAAATGAGCAACCACAAATTGCATCTTTTAACTTGCAGGGGAAAAAACAATTGATGCTAATTGTTCAAAATTCAAACCAGTGGCCCAGCAATGACTTCAACATGCTGGTTGCCACACTTTCTCCAGCAACCCATTGGGCCGTCTCCTGAACGTCCGTGAGATTTTTGCGCCCATCTTGGCAACCCAAATGAGCCTTCGCGGAGGGGACCTTGAAGTCTTGCTCCGGCAATGCCGAAGGGATCTGGTCAAAGGGAATGCCTTGCAGGCGCCAGAGATCTGATCCACAAATCTCACTCACATCTGCGGCCTTGATCGACTGGTCATCGTGTTTGTTTGCCCTGTAGGCCGTTCCCTTTGCTGGCAGGTACACGTCCGGCACAGCAACCCATCCGGAATAGTATGCAGGACGCTCGCTGTTTCGGTGGATCCCGCTCATGTCAACTGGAATTCGGATGTCTCTCACCCCCAGCTTGTACTCTTCCAACTTGTTCTCGATCAGCCTTCGCCCAGAAAGCAACCACTTCAGTATTGAAAATTGAAAATTGTCTCGTTGACTCTTGGGTACTGGTAAAGTGCCAGCTTCAAAAATGAGTTTTCAAAAAAGAGCATCGCAAAATTATGTTGGATGATTTTTTCAAAATTCCTTTGTCAGAAATTCATGTTGAAAAAACAACAGTACTATAATCATGTGAACCAAGCAAACATCAAACCCATAATAATGGCTTTGGATTTTAGGCTTTAGGACCCTAGCCTCCAGTCAGACCTCAATGAGCCTCCGCCAGCAGTCCCTGCCAACAGTGGAGCGATGAGCAATCCCGCAGAGCCTGGGTTCCCAAAACAAAAATGGAATAGAAAACAAAATCCACTCAAGAACAGAGAGAGAGAGAGAGGAGAACTTAAAACAATTCCGGGATTTTTTTAAACATGTGTGCTGGTGAAGCAGCTCTTTGGGTTCTTGGCCAAGCACTTTGACATCAAGCTAACGTGCCGATTGAGCGCGGTTGTAGTGAGGGTTCCATGCTTCGTGAAGTCAGTGATCACCACCACAAACAGCTGGTCTTGTTTGACCTGGGAGTTATGTGGCAATGGATTCAAAGTTGATGATTTCTGTGAGCTTAATGATTTCTATCTTGGGGCTCCCTTGAAGAAACAATTTTGCACCCTGAAAAGTGACAACAATATCATGGCATCCTTTTGAATAGGGATAAAAAGGAGTAATGGGAACCTTCAAAAGCTGATTCCACAAATGACCAGAGTATGTTGCACATTACATTGTTTTCACGAGTCCCTGGTATCCATGCAGAGGCTTTTTGGAAATCTGGCTAACCATACCATAAACGATATAAACCTATGCCGATACCTTTAAGTTTACAGTACTACGTACTGCCCGGCCCAGTTTTGCCAGAAGCCCCAACCTTCAATTCAGCTGCCGCTGACTTCATCCACGCGTCAATGTTAGGCATCGTGCTGATGTCCTTCATGAAGTTCAGGTTGCAATGCGTATCCATGTACTTCTCCACAATCCTATGCTTGACCCAGTATACAAATCTTCAAACTTTGAGTATCTCAGTATCCCCATATTATATGTTTATTTCAGAAGAGTAAGTAAGCTCTGGTGAAAACTAAGGCGTATCCGGAAGATAACCTTGCTAAAATAATAGCTAAGGATCCCCAAACCAATTGTGTTCTGTGACTTCGCGTGCTGAACTTGAACCACATGGTCTCGTGCAGCTTTCTTCGTCAACTGGTGACGGTACCGTGCCCAAGCAACTTCATCAAGCCTCAAACAGAAACACTAAAGGAGGAGGAGAACCCTCCATAGAACAAAAAAATGTCAAATGGTAAATTTAAAGAAAAACATTTCGATAGGACCAACATGCTTGAAAGCTACGACACTTTGGAACGTACTTCTTGGTAGAGGGCAATGGCTGTGGCCTCCTCCACAGATTCTAGGTCCACCTGGTTGATCTCTTCCACAAGTTCCGGGGCAATCATCTCATTCCACAGGCTCAAGTGTCGCACACTCCAATTGGGAAGGGAGCTTTCAACACATGCAAGGACTTCAGCCATGTAGTCCCTGGAGTTGGAGGTTCCAGGTTATTAGGTTCTTGGAGAATGGTCCCCAAACTTACCGGGGGGGTATGGTGAGGTGTGCAGAATGCTCCCTTGAACAAAGGAAATCTACAACTTGTCAAAAGTTGATATAGATCAAGAAGTTAAAGGATCCACAACTTGTTAAACTTGTTCCCACAAAATGTACAAATTCCCCCACAAAACCATCAACCCATCCTTGACATGAAGGCTTCGTGAACGCCTGCATTCACCTCAGCTGCCTTTTTCTCATCGTCCTTGAAGTAATCGGTGACCTCTGCTTTCACTGCCTCCATGATTTGCGTGTAGTTGACAACCCGGTCCCACTCCTGAACACTTGGGCGAAACTTGGGTTTGGTTGATGCACGGACTTTGCGTGTATCATGCGCAAACTTGGCCACATGATTGCGTAGGAAGTTCTCCTGCCCAGAAGGGGTCACCGCCAAGAGCCTTCTGAATGGTGGCTTGCAATGCTTGGGCACAGCCCCAAGCAACCACCGTGAACTCTTCAAAAGATCAGAGGTGAAACTGCTTTCTTTCCACTTGTTAAACGACAAATGTGTGGAAATCAGATGGCGGGTGGTGGCTGTTGTCCCCACCAAAACGTTCAGGATCGCTTTCTCGCGTTCCTCATCCACGGCCCATTTGGCCAAAACCCCATCCTTCGAATTAAAGGCATTGACAACTGCCTTCAATCGTTCTTCTGTCCCCCAACTTGCTGGGTGTGATCCATTTTCTGCACATTCTTGCATCACTCTAGAAAACATGAGTGCCAGCGAAAGAACGTGTGGGGGTTGCCTTTCAGCACCTCTGAATGACAACTGTAAATTGGTGTAGACACACTCCACGGTGGACTTGTTGATCAGAATCTTAGATGAAAAACGGCCCCAAGAAATGGATCCCTAAACTAAACTAGAAAAACAAAACCATTGAGTCCATTGAACCCATCATTCAATCACAAAAACATAATGGAACAAAAGTTAAAGATGGTAGGTGAAATTAGGCCAGGTCACGTTCATGGGTAACAACCATGATCGGTCCAAAAAATGAATGAACGGTTGGAGAGAGGACCATTCCCGGGTGATGTCCATTTCAGTCAATGCCAATAAGACAAAGGCAATCACCGATGCCTTCGTGAATCCTTTGACCACGGTGATACTGCTTTCTGTCAGGGTCATCTTCGTACCTGAGGTGGTTGGGCAGAACATATGTTTTTTTGTTATAGTCTATCTGCTATTGAATGGTGATTCCGACAAAAACCAGTTGCAAGCCTTGGGAGTTAGTGGAGGATCATCCAACTCGACTTAATCATATATTAGTGATGGGTTTAGTGGAAGTATATTAATTATTCAACATGCCCCATTACTTAGTTTGTGGGTGAACCACTTGGAGACAAGCAGCCTGCAGGAACTCCGCTGAAATCAACCTGTACGTGGCCAAGGACATGGATGGACTGGGCTTGGAGGGGGGGGGGTACATGGCCAAGAAGCAAAAAAATATGTTACTTTAAACTTTGGGGTCCAATGTTCAGCCCAAGGGCATTGACTGTGATAGGCTCTTTACCCAGATCAATGCCGCCAGTGATCATAGATTCCCAACAAGTAGTCCAATCACGCAAGCACGGCATGCCATCTGGTGGCATGGCAAACCTTGCGCTGACAAGAGGGTATGGAAAAATAATTGTTAATTCTTTGGTGGTTGGCATCCCAAACAATTTATTACACTACTCAAAATAGATGCTTATTGGGAAAGGGACTTGAGGGCAGTAATGGGCAGCTTGACGGTGTCATCGGCCATGCTGGGATCCAAGGCCTGGGTAACATAACCCGATAAATGTTATAAATATATGATGAATACAATGATGACAAACTGAATATTATGTTTTCAAACAAACGATTAAGCCCTTGACAAACTCGCTGCAAGCCTTGAAAAGAACCGGTTTCCCCCGTTTCTCCACATACTCGCGAAACCAGCCCGCCATCTCCTTTGTGCGCAATGCCTTTGACTCATCATTGGCGCAATCCAAGACGTGGGGCACTGCATCACACGGGTGGGCGCTGGATTCCGACTCTTCAAAGCTACACATGTACGTATGCATGTCCTCAGTATTGGATTGCAGGAAAACTTGATGGTGGTACTGATGATGAGTGTTTGTATATTGAATCACTTCCGATATCTACCCCTTCCCAGATTGGAAACCAGAAGAAACATGTTTCCAATTGATGGCCAAGAAAATGAAAGAGTTGTTGAACATGTTTTTGTGAAAGGATATTCTTGATGATCATCATTGTTTTTTAGTGGGAAGAAATTCCATCTCAAGTTGTTAGATTTTTTTTGGTATAGAATAAACCTACTGTAATCATGGCTGAAATTATCAGACCACACCAGATCTGTTTTCATGTCAAAGTGTCCCTCAGCAAGGAAACGTCACCATCCTGTTTCTTCAACCATTTCTCGAAGGTGGTACATGTTTTTTTGGCCGTCACAGGAGTTGGCGTCAAGTCCTCGTCCTTGGCCCCTTCTTCCTTTTTCTTCACCGGTGTGGTGAGCTGCTTGGCAATCTTTAGGAATGGGTTTTCGATGACTGAAGCCATGGTTTTAGGCTTCCACTACCCTCTCGAGATGGAAAAGTTCTTCGGAATTGATGTTGATACCATTCAAGTCCATTGATTTTGATTTGGGGGCCCAACATAATTTTCAATGGACTCTACCCCCCAGAGTCCATTGAAAACCCTATGTTTTCCAGCCTGGACATTGATTCTTATGTTGGGGCTCAACATCAAAATCAATGCCCGGGTGCCATAGACTAGGGTTTTCAATGGACTCTCCCCCGTCCGGTACATTGATCCTTATGTTGATGTTCAACATGATTTTCAATGGACGGGAATGGTCCCTGAACAGAACATGTGCTTGATTTTCAATGGTCTCTAGCTCAAAGAGTCCATCGACTTTTGAGATTTCACCAGTTTTTGACTAGCCAGTCCATCGATTTGGATGAAATGGTTGAACCAGGAATGCCAGGTACATCGATTTTGGGGAACCGGGATTCTCAAGTACATCGATTTTAAGGAACCGGGGTTCTCAAGTACATCGATTTTGGGGAACCAGGATTCTCAAGTACATCGATTTTGGGGAACCAGGATTCTCAAGTACATCGATTTTGGGGAACCAGGATTCTCAAGTACATCGATTTTGGGGAACCAGGATTCTCAAGTACATCGATTTTGGGGAACCAGGGTACATCGATTTTGGGGAACCGGGATTCTCAAGTACATCGATTTTAAGGAACCGGGGTTCTCAAGTACATCGATTTTAAGGAACCGGTGTTCTCAAGTACATCGATTTTGGGGAACCCAAACTTCCAGGCCCAACAAAAAGCTTTGCCAAAAACCTAAAGTAAATCCATTTAATAAGTGGTATTGTTGAAACATATCCCCAAAGAAAACCCAGCTTCCAAATTGTTTGAATTGTGGTTTTGGATGGGTTAGATATTATTTCATGAGGGGCCTCAATGAATTTCTCCTCCAAGATGTTTATTTGGCTTTATTTGTTTTGGGGGCTATTCTGATCTTTTCATCATGTACCCAATCGCCACGCTTCTGTCCTTGTTGGAAGATTGCGGCACACCTGGCGGTCGGCCAAAGGATCATTAATGGGATTTTATAGTGATTTAATGGGATATTAATGGGATATTAATGGGATATTAATGGGATATTAAAACATATTAAAACCATCTTGTGGGGATCAATGAGTGGCCAATGCGGCTGAGAGAAGATTTGATTTCTGACTTAAGCTTTGCACTTTAGAAGCGTCGTTGTGCCTTTAAAAGCCGAGGAGAAAAACCCTTTGCATACAATCAGTGAGGTGGTAGACTCCTTCAAGATGATGTGTAACCCAAACCCACACACCCCAGCCATCCCGGGATGGCCTTCCACCCAAGGAAGAATCTCTGGCCTTGGGCTGAGCAGAAGAGTTATTCCCACATACAGTTCTGTGTGGATGATTTTATTTAGTAATAAGATGCGGATACAGTCAACCAGTAGTTGGTGGTAAATACCCTCCATGAATCCATAGTACGATGTTTATTGCACAATCCATTTTGATGGCAAGTACGGACTGGTCATGGAACATCATGGCAGTTTTCCACTTGTCAGGAAAATACAGTATTTTCTCACATGGGGGCCAACCCAAATGGAAAATTAGCAGAACATAACAATGCTTTAATGTTGATTAGTCCATTAGCAGAAGACAATTGGATGTTAAAACGAGGTGGTTACCATAATCATTATTTTTTTTTGCCCCTGCTCCGCTGCAAACAACAATCCAAGAGGTACCCACCCGCACTTGGTTGGATTTTTCTGCCGTGGATCTCTTTTAGATCCCGAAACACTCAGTCTTGTTGAACAAGACTAAGACACCCTAGGACCGGGACGCCAAACAACCCATCGGATTATGTCAGTAGACATCTGGGTCACCAAAGCCACATTGAAACTAATAACTGGCTTTAATGCAATAATTTGATTACATCCGACATTCCCATATTTTAGGGCATGTATGATTGGTTCATCATTTCCCCATTGCATTGTAAAGGTTGGTAGGGTAAGAACATGTGTTCCATAGGGTAATTGTATCATATTGGGACGCACCGGCCATAACTTTCCCATATTGCATCACACTGGTTTGCAGGATGGTAACATTCCCACATTATATCACCTTGACTTTGTCTGTGAAGATAAATAGCCATTTCCCATATTACACCATCCTGGTTAACTTGTTGCATGACCCAAACTGGCAAATCTCTCCCAGGTCAAACTCTACGGTTCCCGCCAAAGACAGCCCGCAAGGGCATAGCAGGCGCCAAAGCAGATAGGACGCTGGGGTGCAACCTGTTAACAGGGTCCCCAACTCCTGGTTCAGCACCAGGCCTTTGATGCCATGGTAAATTTGGAAGACTTGCTGTCAAATACAAATCATTTCTGGCCAGAGCAATCAAGTACTCAACGCTTTCCCGGTATTCAGGGCCATAGCTTTTTCTACAGCCTCAGCTACTTTGATACATTGATCTCGAAAGTTGGCGCTGAAATTGTTTGGGTGCCTTAGTTTTGGTGAATTGTTTGGGTGCTAAATGAAACCATCTAAGTCTGGGTACAATCCCAATATGAACACCATCCCAAAATCAAATATTTCGAGGGTAAAAACTACAATGGACTATTTGCAGGGTACTTGTGGGCCGGAATCATCCCCACCCTCGAAGCACGGGCCGGCGTCATCACCCGGAGGGGTCTTTGTGCCAAGCTTTTGGAAGAGATGTACTGCTTCACCAACATGCAAACATCGCATGGGTTTGCTGGTGCCCGCAAAGATCCCGAATCAAGGTTGGTAGCCAATTGTTCTGGAAGGTCTACAGGGTTTCTGAAAGGAACTCAAATCCAATCACGGGGTGTCTTCAAAACTGTTTAAGGACAAACACAGTTCAGATCATTTTCCATATTTATATATTATATTATTACTATATATTATTTTCTTTACATATCTTTAGACAAAGTATAATAAACATGTTTGAAACACCATCATCCTTATAAATGTCCCTTTAACTCCATGCCTCGGCGCAGCATCATCAGAAAACAGTGATTTGCTGTGTCATCCTCTAGCAAACCTCCTGCAAATCCGACCTGCTGGGGTGTCTGGAAGTGACCCTTCCAGGCGTGAACTGCGTTGAGCTTCTCACAGTGGATCTCGGAATTCATCCCTATCCAGCTTCGGAGGCTTGGCCTGTGCAACTCCTGGAGGATGGTGCTGATGACACTGGTAGGGCTGTAGAGGGTATCGCAGCAACTGATTCGACGGGCAATTAAGCCCCACAGCTGGTCGATGGCTGAGTGTGAGTGCGCTTTGCGCAAATTTAACAGTCCAATGACTCTGCATTTGTACTTGGCCAGGATGTTTGTGATGTACAACATGAAGTACTGATTTTTACATTCACGGACACAATTGTCCGACATCAAAATTATAGTATGAGGGAAAGCTACTCCTCTTTTCCTGGCGATCTGGGCAACCCTTTCCAGTGTAAGGGACACACATTCGCAGAGGCAGCTGGCATCGTGCTTCAAGGTTTCATCCATCACATATAGATTCAATGTCCAGCCTGGTAGCATGTAAACTTTTACTACATCCTGGCCAAGTACAAGTGCAGGGTCATTGGACCCCTAAAGTTGGGAAAAGCCCATTCTCACTCTTAGAAAATATTGAAATGATGGTTTGAAGGTCGGAGACCCCTGGACAGGTTTTTTGGGATGTTCACTTGCGTAGTTTTGCCCCACAAACATATAAAACATTGACTTTCAGCCCGAGGAACCCACTGCCCAAGCACCATGAATTTTGAGAGATGGTCTTATGACATTTGCCCTTGGCGGTCCAAGGCAAAAATTGGGTCACATAATAATAACTTGCTTTTGATTGGGTATGATTCGGTATGATTGAGTATGAATCGATCATTCTAACATATTAAAATGCCCCCAAACACTCAGTAGTTGAACCCATAATCTGGGGACAAAGGGCAAAATTTAGCCTAGGGTCATTGACGACACTGCCCGATGTCCAGGGTGCTTTGGGAGTCTGAACTTTGCTTGGTCCATACCATCCAACAGGATGCTTAACACCCCGGAGGATGGATCTCGTGATGCCTCCTCCAGACTCCATTGTATGGACCTATCGCAATACTGGCTGTATAAATGGTCCCTGTACACCTTGACAGCATGAAGTTTCTCTTCCAATGAAGCTGACCGGTCTGAAATTTGTTGGGATTGGTGGAAGCAGAACTCGCATCTCGAAAACCTAGGGTGTGGATTCAATATGATTCAATGGAAACAAAAAACTAAACTTAGAGTCAATAAGACACACCCACTGTAACTTAAGTTGCCAAATAAACATGTAAGGCTTATTGTTTGCCAGACACAAGTTCTTCTCTCTAAATTTCAGCACGTCTGACCAGCGTGCCTTGAAGACGCGCAGGAAAGTCGAGTACCTCAGCAAGGCCATGGGGTGGGGTTTGCCGGGGTGTTTTGAACTTAATTCAAGACCGGAAAAGTTGGTTCCAAATAACCAAAAAAAATCCAATGTTAATTCAAATCCAGGAACGACACACTCTTTGCTCCAATCAATGTGCGTGCCGCCTGATAATGATGGAACAGGTCTGAAATGCTCCCCGGGGGTAGGTATTTTGCCATTTTCTTGTCGTCACCCGGCTGCTGGATTAGCTGCAGTGCTGTTCCCAAACCAGGTTTCTCAAGCCATGTCACCAGTTCTGCATCATCTACATCACTTACTATATCGAAATCAGCATCATCCTTTTTTGCAGCTCTTCCCCTCCGCACGAACCTGAAGGGATTTGAGGTTTCCCCATAGAAGGGATAATAGGTGAATCCACATTTCCACATTTATTCTCTAGGACAAAATGTTTCAACATGTTTCAACAAAGAGATGTTCAACATCGAATAGCACGCCTGTCTGGGAGGGTTTCCGCCACATTCTCATATTGTAGGGCCAAAAAGGCATCGATGCTCATGGTGTCTTTGTGTGACTCATTCTTGGGCTTACCAAAACGTAAATCAGGACTGCTGTCGAAACCTCTCTTCAGTCGTGACTTGCCAATCCCAAGAATTGAAGCAAGGCATTTGAACCCAATTGTCTTCCCCATGAACACCAGGCTCTCCACGGCGCCCTTTCCATCCAAAGAGGTGCTCAACTGACAGGGTCAATATGAATAATATAATATATAAAAAGGATCCGGGTTTGTCATACCAGGGGTTGACAACATACCAGTAAAAAGGATCCGGGTTTGTCATACCAGGGGTTGACAACATACCAGTCCAACTACTGCAGGTTGCCATAGGTTCCCTATCTTCAATATTTTGTTTGAAAAAATCTGAAATGCAACCAATGGGACAAGGCTATCTTGATCCTGTTTGCGGAGGGACCAGAATTCTGCCAAGAATGCGCTGATCTCCTTGGCGGTGTACTGGGTGAAGCAATGCTTCCGAGCACCTGATGTTTCCCATTACAAAATGGAAATGGCATCTCCTTTACCAGATTGGGGTGGGATGTACAACCACAAAAACTTGCGTATTACATTTGACATATTAATACACTATTTTGTGCCAATATATCCCCAATCTCTACATTAACAGGATGTAAAGAAAATGGTTGGCTAATTTTGCACTGGGTTGCACAAACAGATGTCCTTTGAGAGTATCTGCAGAATCCGTTTCTCAGAAACACCATTCTTCTTGAACTGCCCCCCTTTCCGCACGTAAGCAGCCTTCTCTGCGCGCTGCTTGTTGTCATAGGGCCTCTTTTGTTGGACTTGCCTCCCTGCTTGAGAAGCATCGCGTGTCAGGTTAGCTTTGCAAGTACGGGTCAACTCGTGCCACCCCAAACAGAAAACAGAGGGCCCCGGCGGTTCTGAACCTGTAGAGGTATCTGAATCTGACTGTTCTTCAGGTTCATGGCTAAGAATCATTCCTAAGCGTTTGTCTACATGATTGGATCTGTGAGGGCAATGACCTTCTTCAGGCTCTCGTTGAAAAACAGCAGGCTTTTTTGGTTTTCTTCCCTTAGGTTTGCCTCAGGGTCAAACAGTATGTCAAACCATTCAATCAAGAAAAAACAATGAAGATATCCCTTGATTTACGGAATGTCTTGGATTGGGGAAATAGAGAGCATGCAAAACAACAGTCTTTGAACATTTGGAACACTGGAATTTGGAAAGTTGGATGGAAACCAGGCTGGCCTGGTTCCTCAGGTTCTGCTTGGAAAAGTCTCTTAGCAGCCTTTTTTGGAATTGGACAGCTCCGCTCCGGCCCCTCCGGAGCAAAGAGTCTCATGAGGATCCATCCGCATAAAGTAAAGACTTGAAAGTTAACATTTGATTTCCAACTCTCAAAAAGATGGTGATGTTTCTCGCGGATGAAGTTTGATATGGTCTGATGTTGTTGCTCACTGATTTATTCAACACTTGGAGCGGTCCGTGACTATGTGCCAAATGGCTTCGGGAACCAATCAAAATCCCTGCGTTAGTTGCCACAATCCTGGTGCTTCACGATCCAAGCACCCCGGCTCTGTCAGGCACCACCCACTGCGGCAGGCTGCCTGCAAAGAGGAGCAATGGTATTAGACCGGGTTTGGGTATTGTTTATGATATTAGTTCATAGCATACAATCCATCTTTAGACACCATATTGCTTCTGTTGTGACTTAGCAAGTGCTGATGACAAATGATTCTAATGTTTAAGAATATTTTTGAACATGGTGGCTTGTGTACTATGTAGATGCCCTAGGCCTATACGTCCATATTATAATATTATGTTGTGATTATGTTTTCATTCTGTGTGCGTCAGTGTGTTAGTCAATTAGTTATTAGTTAGTGTTGCTGTGCAATGTGTTTCTATGAAGTGTGTCTTGGGACATACAACTTGTAAATGCCTCGCGGTTGCTTCTCATACACATGTGGGACATGTGACTCCAAGAAATTTGCTGGTCTTGATATTGAACCATGTATTTCTCACCAAATTGTGAATGATGTTTACTAAAGGGTATGTTTTAGTAAGATGCTTGGTTCGGATTGCCTTTGCAGGATTGTTTAGGCCCCATTTCAAACTCACACAGTACTTGTTTTGCCACGCACCTTTGATATCCTTTGATCACCGAGAGTTTTCACTGCTCAATTGGCAGTGCGCAAAGCGTAGAGCACAGAAGTGCCCATCCGATGTTAGGCAGGAACATTCCATTCCCAGAAAACTTGGTGAGAGCTGATTCTGGGATCTCATTGAACACATCTTCATGATTTTCAATTGGGTAAAGCAAGGTCTTGAGTTTCTCTTTGCCTGACATGCAACGTCCCAAAGTTTCAGACCATAAAAAAGTCGAACTTGTTGCAAGGCACAAAAGGTCCCCATTCTTCAAATCAGTCCGGGCACGTGCAATGGACTGACTAATATCATACATGTCCTTCTCTGGAAAGGACTTGCGATAGCGCTTCAAACTTTTCTTCATCGACCTCGTGTAGCAGGTGGATGGTGGATGTTGGGTCGTTAACGTTGTTCAATCAAGACAAAAAAATATGTAGCAGTTGAAATTTGATAACGGATGTGATATCAATGATTAGTAAGTCACAAGTCATATCAATAATCGTTTTGACGTTTTATTTCAATGAAACCAAGATACCACTTAATGATTATGGAAACCAAAAGGTTTATATGACAAGTTGATAATGAGACCAAAATACAGTGGCAATCCATTCTCGAAGAGGTCCTTCGGGGGATCCTTTTCCAGTGCGAAGCATTGAGGTCCCATGGTTGAATTTGTCTTCGCCGGTGCTAGGATTTGTTCTGTCAAGACTTGGAAGTTCTGATCCTAAGCCCCTAGGAGTGTTGGGAGAAACAAAAATTCAAGATCGAGAAACATACTAAGATGAATGATGAGTGAAATATACCTAAGATGAAACATTGAGAAACATAATTATGAGAGATCTGTGCCCAAGAGTCTGCCTGCCATTCCCGTTTGCTTGGTTTCCACGTGAGCCTGTACTCACGAGGCCTGGAGCTGGGGCTGCCAAACTGTTGAGGGCAAAGCCTGGGCTGCACAACCAGGCGTGGACAAAACGGGCTGGCTGCTAGATAAAGAGGTTGGGGGGCACACACAAATTAAAACATACCTCGGGTTTATTCAAAGAAAAGTTGCTCAGCCATGTCGATACAATGAGTGCAGTTCTTCTCTAGGTGGGTACCATCATAGCCCTTGACATTCTCATGCACTGCTGCATCAGCCGCGTTCATGATTGCAGTGGCCACCGCGTGACATTGAGCTTCAGCAATGTTTTTGAAACCCTTGCGTGAACCCAACCTCGCATTGGGATAGCCCCGCTGGTTTGATAAGATGGAAATTTGATATGATTTGCATCCCTTGCTTGAATTGAAAATAAAGCGACATCAAGACAAAAACAACCAAATACAATTGCTACTCAACAGCAAGATGCTTGCTGAAGAGGACGCATGGGGCCCCCAAAGTAACTGCAAGATCATTGAAGTCTGGCAAGTCACATTCTTTTCCATGAGCTAGGCAGTGAGCGCGGGCTCGAAATTTAATCTTCTTGGGATCCAGAAGCTTTTTCTGTGGAACCTTGTCCCCATTCTTGATGAGATCAAAAATGTTTCCAAACAAACAACAATCCGGGTAGAGGGAGAGGATCACCTTCTGACACTGTTTGTTGTTCTCAACCTGGTTATTGCGGAAAGGCTATATAAACACAAAACATATTTTCAGTTTGTGGGCTGGCAAAATGAACTACAGAAAATCAAACTAAACCAAAAACTACAACAATTACTCAGCTTTGCTGGGAGACAGCACATACGAACCGCACCCCAGTCTCAACTGCCCAAAGATCCCACGCTGCCTGACTGATGCTCTCCCATGCTTTCCGCGGGCATTCCACACCCGAAAACAAGGTGCAAATGCGTTGTTCGCGCGCAAGCTGCTGCTTCACATGCTCTTCCCCAAAGTATTGCGCACAACGCTTCAAAGTAGTAGTGGCCCAGTTCCTTTAATTCATGGTATTTCCCATTTTGGGATTTCAAGGTAATAGAAAACATGTTTTTTTTACTTGAATTTCCGTTGGGTTATTGTGGAAACAACAAATTCTATAATCATGTTCTTGAGGCAAGAGTCTCCAAGTCTTGCAATGTCTCCGGAAGTGGAAACGAGTCCCTTAGATCCATGGAACCCAACCCGCTTCATACAAGAAGAACAACAAAGAAAAAAACAAGCACAAAAGAACCCTCAACCCTTTTGATCTTGAAGTCTAGTTGCATTGAATTGTCATCCGTTTCTAACTCTTCTGGATTGAGATGATCTTCTTCCTCAGCCTGCTCCATCTTTGTGTCTTTTACATTGGGTTGGGCAGGCCTTTTCAAAACTTTCTTCCCTCTTGACGAGGCAGGCCTTTTCATAGCTGGTCTCTTTTTGGGCTCTTTGAGCGGGGGCTCCTCCATGAGCGGGGGCTCCTCCATGAGCGGGGACTCCTCTATGGGGTCCTCTGTGGCTATGAGCGGGGAATCCTCTGACTCTATGGGGTCCTCTGTGGGCTGGGGCTGCTTCTTGGTCTTGGGTTCAGAGTTTGGTTTGGCTTTTGCTTTCCCTCTAGCTTTCGGTGCCCCTTTTTTTTTGGGAGTGGCTACATGAGGCTTCCCGTAGATTGCATACAACTTGTTGTTCGTGGGCTTCGGGGATGATGACGCAGCGGCGTCCTTTGCACCACCCGCTGATGCTGACGCACTTGCTGTCCTATGCCCACTGCTCGCTGCTGCTGACGGCCCACTGCTCGCTGCTGCTGACGCACTGCCAGCTGCATTCACTGAACTTGAACTAGGCAGCTGCACTGACTGCGAGGCTGCCAATGCAGATGCTCTAGCATTGCGCTGTGCCAACAACTGCGCCAAGTTTTGAACCATTTCGATTGGATCTGAAACGGCTTTGTGCATGGGATTGGATTTTGATACGTGAACTTTGATAC